TTGCACTCAGACACGACAGCTCATTGCCTCCAGCCTTTTCCTTGTTGCAACATTCACCACCCATGCTTCACACCCATATAAGAGCGTTGGTATAACTTTACTCTCATATATTCCCCCTCTATGCTTCCATGTACAAAGTTCTTTGTCTCCACAGATTCCTTAGTGCACCACTCACCTTTTTTCCCTCGTAAGTTCTATGATTCACCCCACCCTTCATAGACCCGTCTCTGAATACATTCACCGCCTCCATACTCTCCCTCCAATCTGATATCTAATCTTCCGTTACCTAATTTTATCCTCATCACCTTACTCTTTCCGATATTCACTTTTAATTTTCTTTTACATACTCTACCAAACTCATCCACCATCTGCAACTTCTCTTCAGAATCTCCCAAAAGCACAGTGTCATCAGCGAAGAGCAACTGTGACAACTCCCACTGTGTTATTCTTTATCTTTGAACCCCACGCCTCTTGCCAACACCCGAGCATTCACATCTCTTACAACCCCATCTATAAATATATTGAACAACCATGGTGACATCACACAGCCTTGTCTAAACCCTACTTTTATTACTGGGAAATAATCTCCTCTCCTACATACTCTAACCTGAACCTCATTATCTTCGTAAAAAATTTTCAATGCTTTCAATAACTTTCCTCCCATTCCACACATTTGCAACATCTGTCACATCCCCCCCCCCTGTCCACCCTGTCATGTGCCTTTTCCAAATCCATAATTGCTATAAAAACCTCTTTGCCCTTATCTACTGTTCACCTATATGTTCCACTGTAAACACTTGGTCCTGAAGATGTTTGACCTCGCTGCAGGCTCCTTAATGCCTTTGTTGTATATCTTTGACTCCAACTCAGAGCCTCTAATTCTAATATACTCAATAGGCAGGGAAAATCATACTAACATTTTTTCCAAAAAAGTTATTTTTTTTTATTAATGTGACATTGATATTTTACAATATATACAACTTGTGGATACTGTACAAGACACAGGAAGGTCCAGTGACCCTCTCTCTCTCTCACTCACTCACACACACACACACACACACACACACACACACACACACACACACACACACACACACACACACACACACACGCGCGCGCGCAATTAACTTCACTGTTACTAACGTCAAAAACAATTTCTGCTTATCGTTATGTACAAAAATCGTGTGATTCACTTGGTAACAATACAACACTCGCGTCTGGGGAGGAAAAAAATAGTGACAAAATATAATGCCCGTTTTAGGATTTCATTATAGATACACAGATCCATATACAAAACTATATAAAAAGTATGCATTTTAGGGACCATAAGGGAAAAATACATTGGGAATGTTGCCGGATGTACGATATTTTGTGTCCGCTGAAACGATGTACTCCTGGGCATTGCCTGATGCACGATGTGAATAATGTACAATAATGTACATTTTAAGTACGATAACTGCAACATCGTACATGATCGTAGTTGACAGATGCAAAATAGTGCACCGTGATGTACGATAATGATCTACTGTACGATACCTGCCATGTCGCATAGGGTTATAATTGCCAGACGTACAATATCTGCTGTCTATGTACGATAACTGCCATATCGTACAGGATCGTAGTTGGCAGATGCACGACAGTTGCTGCAGGTACACGATAATTGTATCTGCATAAACGATATTTGTCAAATACACTCAAGAATGTTCCACCGTTAATAATGTTCCACTGTTCATAATTTTCAACATCCTCCACTGTTCATAATTTTCAACGTCCTCCACTGTTCATAATTTTCAACGTCCTCCACTGTTCATAATTTTCAACGTCCTCCACTGTTCATAATTTTCAACGTCCTCCACTGTTCATAATTTTCAACGTCCTCCACTCTTCATAATTTTCAACGTCCTCCACTGTTCATAATTTTCAACGTCCTCCACTGTTCATAATTTTCAACGTCCTCCACTGTTCATAATTTTCAACGTCCTCCGCTGTTCATAATTTTCAACGTCCTCCGCTGTTCATAATTTTCAACGTCCTCCACTGTTCATAATTTTCAACGTCCTCCACTGTTCATAATTTTCAACGTCCTCCACTGTTCATAATTTTCAACGTCCTCCACTGTTCATAATTTTCAACATCCTCCACTGGTTGGTTGACCAACAGGAGTTTAAAGCCTATTGACTACACTGTGGTTAAGACCACATCAACTTTACACCACCAGACAAGAATGCTGTCATTCCCTAAAATAGGATTTAAACTCTCAGTATATATACACTGAGAAACATACACCTCTCAGTGTATATATACTGCGTAGGTCAGTATCAACACATGTATTCCTTTACCGTAGTAACAATGTTGAATGTTATGGATCTTCAACAGTCTCATTTAGCCTCGCAATGTTGAAAGTTTTCAGTGGTGATAAGATGGGCCAATAGGTCGACTAGTATATTTTTCGTTGGCCTAAAATATTTCGTTAAGTATGTAAACAACACTGGTGATGGGTTATTACATCTTTTCCATCAAGGCAAGTCTGAAGCCTAATTGGTGAACTGGAATGAGATTGAATGACGTATCTGTGACAGAGTGGTTAGTGGCACTCACGTCAGTTTTCTTGACCAAATAAATCACACCGGAGTCGTGATTGGTGAACTAAAGTAATAATTAATTTCATGACTAGATATAGCACTGGTATAAGTTAGGAGTTTGTGTTTGTAAAACGCTTCAAAATCGTCCTGTGTTTGAACATTCTACCCACCAGGATTTCAGTTTGTTCAGCATGAGAGTGAGTTACCACTCAGAGGCCCAGTCTACATAATAACCGCCACTCAGAGACCCAATATGAGTGAGAATCACCACTCAGATGTACAACAAGCACTAGACTAGTTTAACACGTCCTCTGTGAGCGGAACTGCCTCATCACCGTCCATTGTGAAGGGCAACCAGCGCCTCAGTGATATGCAAATAACCACTGCATTGATGATAATTACCCTCCATAATAATGCAAGAGATTATAACGAGTGGAATGAGAGTTAATCAACATTCAGAACCGCGCGGAAGGCACAGCCAATAAGAGTTAATTTTATTACTGAATTAAAAATAACATAAATGGGTAAAAAACAGAACCGCTTCCTCGTATTTTCACAATGCACTTTATTTAGTACATTTTTATTTTCTTTATTTATCGTTCAAAATAATTTTCAGTTTTCTTTATAGTTAAAATAAATTGGGTACGAGGTTCAAATTTTCCATTATTGGAGGTTTTATAATCCAGTGAATTGGATACGAGAGTTCAACTTTTTCTATCATTGGTCCACATTTTTATTAATTGTACCACATTTGTTTTCCGGTTATTGTGATCATGATAACTGTTGTTTTTGCTACGTTGTTGTGGCAACCTGAGTTACCTTCGACATGCCAGTTCCCATTTTCTTACTAACTAAACCAGGCAGTTTCCCGTGTTCTGAGACATTGAATACAACAGAATTCTGTTTATTCTAAGATGTTACACGATTAGCAAACAGACTGCTGTGAAATTTCTCTAATTAGCGACCAATTCCCGCTTTCCCATTGATTAGCACATCAATTCCCGATCTCTCATTAAGAACTTATTCCCGTTTTCTCCTTGATTAGGACACATTCCCGGTTTCTTTCATTGATTAGTACACAAATTCCAGTTTTTCTCTCAGCACAAAGATTCCTGTTTTCTCTATGATTAGCAAACCAATTCCGTTTTCTCTTTGATTAGTACATTAATTCCGTTTTCTCTTTCATTAGTACAGCAATTCTAGTTTTCTCTGATTAGTACACCAACTCCCGTTTCCACTAATTACTACACCAATTCCCGTTTTCTCTTATTAGTAAACCAATTCCCGTTTTCTTTAACTTTTCCCCATTTTTTTGTGGGAAATTGTGTTCTCTGAGTAAGAGGGGTGACACGTAGTAGTTATAATTCCTATTACAAGTTGCATTTTATAAATAGCTGAGCCTGTGTGATTCATTTTCCGCAAGGAGTGGTGAAGGCTTGAACCTCCGTCTACGAACAAGCAGCAGTGACAAGCAAACACACGTGTTTGTCTCACTGAAGAATGCCGACAGTTACTTCAGTGAAGGATACTGAAAGTTTAGTGAAGGATACTTATAATTCAGTGGAGGATGTTGACAGTTGCTTCTGCACGTGCTGGAGGTACAGGTGTATTAAACTGTACCGTGACGACGCTGGTTACAACAGTGACACTGGTTACAACAGTGACGCTGGTTGCAACAGTGACGCTGGTTACAACGGTGACGCTGGTTACAACAGTGACACTGGTTACAACAGTGACACTGGTTACAGCAGACTCCACTTACAGCATTTTGACGATTACAGCATTCTGACGCTAGTTGCAGCAGTGATTCTGATTACAGCATTCTGGTACTAATTGCAGCAGTGACGCTGGTAACAACAGTGATGCTGGTTAGAACAGTGACATTTGTTACAGTAGTGACACTGGTTACAGAGGGCTGACAAGGGTGATTGTGAGAACTGGGCGAAGTACGTAGGGAGGTGTGGGGATGGTTGGGGAGTTGTGAAGAGGGTTGAGGATGGAGAGGTGTGGGGATGGTTGGGGAGTTGTGAAGAGGGTTGAGGATGGAGAGGTGTGGGGATGGTTGGGGAGTTGTGAGAGGGTTGAGTGAGGGTGTGTGCGTAGTTGGGAGTTGTGGGTGAGAGGTGTGGAGAGGAGGTGTATGTTGGGAGGTGTGAGAAGGGTTGGGGAGGTGTGGGAAGGGTTGGGGAGGTGTGAGAAGGGTTGGGGAGGTGTGGGAAGGGTTGGGAGGTGTGTGAGGAGGGTTGGGGAGGTTTGGGGAAGTGTGGGAGTAGGGTTAGGGAGGTGTGGGAAGGTGAGGACGGTTGGGGAGGTGTGAGAAGGGTTGGGGAGGTGTGGGGAGTGTGAAATGGGTTAGGGAGGGCTGGGAAGGGTTGGGAGGAGTGTGAGGAGGGTTGGGGAGGTGTGGGAAGGGCTGGGGAGGTGTAGAGGGTTGGGGAGGTGTGGGGAGGTGTGGGGATGGTTTGGGAGTGTGGGAAGGGCTGGGGAGGTGTGAGGATGGTTTGAGGTGTGAGATGGGTTAGGGAGGTGTGGGGAAGGTTCGGGAGGTGTGGGGATGGTTGGGGAGGTGTGGGGATGGTTGGGGAGGTGTCTAGTGCACAAACTCGTTTTGAGCGTAGTACTGCTGCGTGTCTACGATGACTGACGTGTAGCCAGGCTGCGGCAGGACGTGCGTCTTGCTCGTCATGGCTGCGGCTGCGGCTTCTGTGGGCGTGCTGAGTGCGGCATCCACGTAGCTGTATACTCCCCTCACACAGCTGCCGCCCGTACCGCCCGTGCCGCCCGTGCCGCCCACGCCCGCATACTGAAGCTTATCTGAATACTGAAGCTTATCTGTGTACTGCGTCTTGTCTGCGGCTGCGGCAGCCGCAGCTGCGGCGTACTGCAGCTTGTCAGTGGCATAGAATTTGTCGTGGGCGTAGTAGTCGTGCAGTGGGTACATGGGCGTGGTGAGGGTGGGCGTGGCAGGGGTGGTGGTGTTGGCAGGTGTAGTATAGTCGTGTCTGGGGTCGTCCGAAGCGGAGCTGCTGCCTGACCCCTGACTCCAGGGTCGTTCCTCGTACCCACTGTTGCTCTTGTAGTGGCAGGAGGGGGCGGCGCCCCCACTCAACCCCTCCAGGGGGGCGCTGCAGCCCGCATACTGCTGGGTCTCCCCTCTGACGTACCTCTCGTCGTAGACGTCGTAGGCGGGGGGGTAGCAGGCCAGGCGGGGGTCCGGGTAGGGGGTGGGGGGTGCGGCCAGGGGTGGGGGGCCCAGGGAGGGGGAGTAATGGATGGCTGCAGCTCCTGGCCCCTCCAGCACCTCATGGAGGGGGTCAGTGGGGGCGGGGGAGGGGTAGGGGGAGGTGCGGCACTTTAACCGCCCCCACCCATGCCTTTCATCCCCCCTGCTTCACCCCAGCTGCCCCCCTCCTCCCCACGACCCCCACCCACCTGTTCCCACGACAAGCGACCCTCCCTCACCTCCACCTCACTGTGTGTACATAACATTGTTAGTAATTACACATGTGCACCACTATACCTGTACATTCCTACACCTGTACATTCTACACCTGTATACATGTTATTACACCTGTACATCCCTACACCTGTATACAAATTACTACACCTCTATATCCCTACACCTGTATACAAATTACTACACCTGTACACATGTTATTACACATGTACGCAACTTACTACAGTGCACCTATACACAAATTACTACACTTATACATCTCTACACCTGTATGTTACTACACCTGTACACTCCAAAACGTTGCTACAAATGTATACATGTTACTACATCACTACACCTGTACCCAACTACACCTCACACTCACTTCATCACATTACAAATCACATCACTACACTGTACACACTAGACCTGACATCACTACACCTGTACTACAACTACCCAGCACATCACTACACATGTACATCCTACAACGGTACACAGCTAATGCACATACACCTGTACACACTACACCTGCACAATCATTCACTAGCACATCACTACATCTGTACACAACTAGACCTGCACATCACTACACCTGTACACATAGCCTGATCTACACTTACACAACTGACTGCACCACTCACCTGTACATAGACTGCACATCACTACACATGTACACTACCCCTTACACAGTAAACTGCACATCACTACACCTGTAACACAACTCCCTGCACATCCTTCACTCACACATACATATGTCATCACTAATCTGTACACAACTAGACCTGCACATCACTACACCTGTACACAACTAGACCTGCACATCGCTACCCCTGTACACAAGTACACCTGCACATATACACACATTACAACACATTATAGTATTAACTCTGTAATAATAAATGACAGAAATAAGTTAAACACAAGAATTACTTCAACAATCACGTGAGAAACAACCACGCAAATATATATGAACATAAAAAATTATTGCATTGATCTCCCTCTCCCTCAAAATTGGAGGAGACTTGAGCGAGATATTAAAAATCTTAGTAAAGCAATATATTAAAATAGTCAGTGCCGCCATCTTGGAATTATACCCCTCCCTCACCCGCTATAATTATACCCCCTCCCAGAGGGCTATATTCTCCACCGTCCCCTACTGCTTCATTCTTCTCTACATTCCTCAATTCCCTTTCTTAGCAATCCTGGCTAAAGTCTGCCAGCCTAGACAGATTTCTTAATGAAATGAAACACCATCCTGTGTGATGGAATATGACAGTGAAACACCATCCTGTGTGATGGAATATGACAGTGAAACACCATCCTGTGTGATGGAATATGACAGTGAAACACCATCCTGTGAGATGAAATATGACAGTGAAACACCATCCTGTGTGATGGAATATGACAGTGAAACACCATCCTGTGTGATGAAATATGACAGTGAAACACCATCCTGTGTGATGGAATATGACAGTGAAACCCATCCTGTGTGATGGAATATGACAGTGAAACACCATCCTGTGTGATGGAATATGACAGTGAAACACCATCCTGTGTGATGGAATATGACAGTGAAACACCATCCTGTGTGATGGAATATGACAGTGAAACCCATCCTGTGTGATGGAATATGACAGTGAAACACCATCCTGTGTGATGAATATGACAGTGAAACACCATCCTGTGTGATGGAATATGACAGTGAAACACCATCCTGTGTGATGGAATATGACAGTGAAACACCATCCTGTGTGATGGAATATGACAGTGAAACACCATCCTGTGTGATGGAATATGACAGTGAAACACCATCCTGTGTGATGGAATATGACAGTGAAACACCATCCTGTGTGATGGAATATGACACTGAAAACATAATTAGCTATTCCCACTAAGTAACTATCACACTGAATAATACAGCAGCACACTGCGGGTACTCCCACTATGTAACATACAAAATACCAAAGCCTGAGAATGCTGCTGTAGCCAAACTGGCTACATAACTACAAGGATCGTACCTGATGACGTAGTTGACAGCGACAATACAGTGGGGTCTGGAGGAGCGAGAATTATGTACTATTGTGGCGTAGGTCTGTACCCACACCCAGCCTCCATCACGCGTCAGGAACCTGTAGTATTTTGTAGTAACCTGTCCCTTCATCAGCACTGTAACGTCATACAAGTGAATTATGTAGTGGTTGTTATGTAGGAAGGTGGGTGGATATGCAGGTGGATAGATGGGTAGATGAAGTGGGTTTGGAGATGGTAGGTATATAGGTGGTTGGGTATTTGGGTAGGTGGACGAGAGGGGTAACGTGTACACACACACACACACACACACACACACACACACACACACACACACAGTGACTGAAGCATGAATGCACAATTCCAAACGCAAACAATGAACAAATAAAAACCGAGCATAACAACTGAACGTATGTTATCACTGAACACAGATGAACTGAGTGAACACATTAAACCAAATATTCTTTGACCAGTCATCTAATATATATATATATATATAATATATATATATATATATATATATATATAATATATATATATATATAAATTTTCTCTTATATGTTTAAAGATTTTTTCATTTAAATTAATGTAAAAATGAATAATTTTGTAGCAAGTGCAATTTAATTTAGCATAATCTAACTAAATATATTTTAGATAAATTTACAATAATAAACACAACGAAATATATTTTTGTTAGGTTCAGAATGATTTTTGCGAAATTATTGCATACACAAATTTCCGTTTGGCTTATTCGGCAAGAGCGTTGGTATTTAAGCCAGATTCGCAAGTTTTACCTATTCGGTACGACGTATACGTATATATATATATATATATATATATATATATATATATATATATATATATATAATATATATATAATATATATATAATATATAATTCACACACACACACACACACATGCACGCACATATAACAGGCCTAGTGTCTAATTGACATGTGCCTAGGACCAAATGGTAACTAACACATTGAACCTATATTGAATATGTAGACAATTCTTAAGAAAATAAAAAATTCCTGAATATGAGTGAACACTTATTGAATATGAGTGAACACTTATTGAATATGAGTGAACACTTATTGAATATGAGTGAACACTTGTTGAATATGAGTGAACACTTATTGAATATGAGTGAACACTTGTTGAATATGAGTGAACACTTATTGAATATGAGTGAACACTTGTTGAATATGAGTGAACACTTATTGAATATGAGTGAACACTTATTGAATATGAGTGAACACTTATTGAGGATGTGAGCAAATCTTGAAGATGGGTGAAGGCTGCAACTTACACATGTGATGTGAGAACCTCATATGGATCATGTCACAGCCGTGGATGTACTGGTACAGTGTCTTCTCTATCAGGTCCTGAGGCTCGAACCCTGTAAGCACTCCCACTCTGTCAAGAGACAGAAAGTGTGTTTAAGAGATGGAACACACTAGATGGGAGGGAAGGTAGACGCTACACTCCTCTCAACATTTAAAAACAACACAATAGCAACAACAGTGAACAGCGAACGTTTAAAGGCGTCAAGAGACTGACCTGGCGTCGAGGAAGATGAGTTTAAGGTCGAGCGAGGCTCTGAACATAAACATATTGGAGTGCATCTTGATCTCTGTGATGGCGGAGGGTGGTAGAGAGTGACCCACGGCCACCAAACCCACGTTCTGGTAGCAGCTGTCGTAAGGGGCCATGTCCAGAGTATAATGCTTGATCTTCAGGTACCCGGAGCAGTGGATCACCTGTACCACACACACAGTATCTTAATGCACAATATCTTTTAAATAGCTACAATACGCTATGTGACAGCTACGTTGTAAGAGGAGTACCTGGCTACTTTACTCTCTTACATCCCATCATATAATAATAATAATAATAACAACCTTTATTTCTACAAGTACATGATACAACTTATACAGACTTAGCTGACATCAGTAACGTACTATATAGAAAGCTCTGGTTATACCTGGACAGGGTTTCGGGGGGTTAACGCCCCCCGCCACCCTGTCTGAGATCAGTCGTTGCAGAACATTTCGGGCAAATTAGGTTTTGTCCCCAGAATGCGATCTACACCAGTCGACTAACACCCAGGTACCTATTTACTGCTGAGTGAACAGGGACATGTAGAACAATGGTGTACAAGAACATGGTAGAACAATTGTATACAAGAACTTGGCAGAACAATGGTGTATGCTGATGGTATAACACTGTCAGAAGAACACGGTCTGCCTGGTTACTGGGAGGTTTCACGCCTATCGACTACACTAGCGTCATGAAGGCTGCAAGATAATCTTTGCACCACCAGTCAAGAATGCTTTAATCCCTAAAATAGGGATTAAAGTAAACTGTCAGCATGTATACGCTGAGAGAGACATACAGGTGTCAGTGTATACATGCTGTCAGGATACATGCTGTCAGGATACATGCTGTCAGGATACATGCTGTCAGGATACATGCTGTCAGGATACATGGTGTAAGGAAGGAGGACCAGTGTTTTGATTAAAAGGAACAACAATTATTGTACTGCGAGATTGTTATTAGTGATGTTATGATACCAGATTAGTTACAACCACGTAAATATCACCCCCAACTATTGTAACTCTCTCACACCACGTCCAACCACTGTAACTCTCTCACTCTCAAACATCACCTCCAACCACTGCAACTCTTACAGACCCTCCCAGACAGTAAACTCAGACAGCAGAAAGGGAGCGCGTGAGCGAGCGAGCGAGAGAGCGAGAGAGAGAGAGAGAGAGAGAGAGAGAGAGAGAGAGAGAGAGAGAGAGAGAGAGAGAGAGAGAGAGAGAGAGAGAGAGAGCGAGAGGGAGGGAGACGAACATTCAACAAATGAACGTGAGGGCAACAAAGAAACTCTGTCGTTGCTACAACAATGACAGTCGGCCGTGATGGGTGGTCACTGACCTCTTATTAAACACTCAAGTGTACACAGGCATGCATTCACACATGCTTACATACCTCAGGTACACACACACACACACACACACACACACACGCACACGCACACACGCACAGTTTAGCAACAACAGTAATTTCCATTCCCATAGTACAATGAAGTACATGAAAGTACAAGAGAAACAAAGCACTAGATAAGAGGAGTAATGCAGGTTCTGGATAGACAGAACCCAACAGATGTCAAACAGAAATTAGCACAGCAACAGGAGATAAAATGGAACAGCAACAGAAGCCTAAACAGAATATCAACAGGAACCTAAACATAACAACAGCAGCCAAAACAGAATAGCAACAGCAGTCCTCAGTAAACTAACGCACGACTGAAAACTGTTCTCATTTTTTACTATAAAAGGGAAGCTCTAAATCCTTATTACTGATGCTAGTTACTAGCAACCACTATGGTGCTAGTTAACCACTATGGTGCTAGTTTCTAACCACTATAACTGGTGCTAGTTAACCACTATGGTGCTAGTTTCTAACCACTATAACTGGTGCTAGTTACTAACCATTATTACTGGTGCTAGTTACTAACCACTATCAGTGGTGCTAGTTATTAACCACTATCACTGGTGCTAGTTACTAACCACTTTGGTGCTAGTTACTAACCACTATCACTTGTGCTAGTTACTAACCACTATTACTATTGGTAACCATTATTACTGGTGCTAGTTACTAACAATTACTATCAGTGGTGCTAGTTACTAACCACTATCACTAGTTACTAACAACCACTATGTGAAAGAACAAAGGCACAATACCGTGACTGGAACAATACACAAATAACCCGCACATAGGAAAGAGGAACTTACCACGACGTTTCGCTCCGACTTGGACCAGTGACGCAGTCACACTACCAGAAGTGTGTTATGAGAGCCAGTAAATATAGGCGAGCGGGAAACAAGACAGGAACAAGAGAGAGGAAAGAGAAAGTAGTGGTAATGGTAGGTAGGGGCAGAAATAGCGGGTTAAAAATTTCTAACCAATACAGGACTCAAAACAACGTAGTGATAATGGATGAAATTTACATTTAAAAAGGTTATCGGAAAGTAGTGGTTTAGCAGTAGAGTTGTAGATGAGTGGACAAACTCTCAGGTAGCGCCACTGAGACAACAACTTTCAGCAGCTTTAGATATAGAGAGTGGACAGGTACACGAGTGGTTGCAATCTTCAACTCGTCGGTTTTTTTTTAAACCATTTATCACATCTGTCAGACACTGCATCATCATGGGATCTTGATACAAAGAATTCTTCAAAACTTGTCCAACCTTTGGACGAAGATCCACTTCGACTAGTGGATGGTACCACTATGACCCCGCCTCCTCCTGCTTTGCCTCACCTCACTACAGCATATAAGCCACGTCTACGGCCTATGCTGCACTTTCTACAAGATTGATTGACTGAACACATCGACTCCAGGCTGAGGGACCGATTACCTCAAACTCCTCCTCTCCTTACACCTTTCTGCTTTGTATTAGACTGATGAAGCCACTGTGTGCCGTAACGTTTCTTCAATAAAGATTCCCATATGTTGCATAAGTGTCTCAATCTGGTTGTGAGTTGAACGTGCCTATCATGGGACCAGTAGGCTTGCTGCGGTGCTCCGTTGTTGTGTTCTATCCATATCGCCACCTCACCGGACTATAAAAGAAGTAATCACAGTCGACTCGCTAAGAACAAATATCAAGAGGAGACATAATCGCAACATGCAGAGTACACCTAGACAGTGCAGAAGAAAAGGCTTAGGTAGCTCGCTAGCGCACTCAGCTCACACACTGAGGTCCGGGGTTCGAATCTCCTGCGGTATGGCTGGAAAACATTAGGGACGTGTTTCCATAAGACACCTACTGTCCCTGTCCCTGTTCACCCATCAGTTCGAAATGGGTACCTGGGTGTTAGTGGACTGGTGTGGGTCGCATCCTGGGACAAAACTGACCTAATTTGCCCGAAATGCTCAGCATAACAAGGGACTTTCTATATAGTAGTATATCATAGACGTCAGCTAGGACTGTATACCTTGTACATGTACTTGTAGTAAATTATATATATATATATTATATATATATATATTATATATATATATATATATATATATATATATATATATATATACCACACACAAACATCGCAGACGGGCGATTTTAACTATGCAGGACAAGCCACTTATCTTTAGCTAAAGATTTCCACTTTCCACCGTGGCTTATCCTGCATTATATATATATATATATATATATATATATATATATATATATATATATATATATATATATATAATATATATATATTATATATATATATATAAGACAGAATGTAGGATTGCGGATGAGCAAGGAGGTTTTAGAGTGGGTAGGGGATGTGTAGATCAAGTGTTTACATTGAGGCATATATGTGAACAGTATTTAGATAAAGGTAGGGAAGTTTTTATTGCATTTATGGATTTAGAAAAGGCATATGATAGAGTGGATAGGGAAGCAATGTGGCAGATGTTGCAAGTATATGGAATAGGTGGTAATATACTAAATGCTGTAAAGAGTTTTTATGAGGATAGTGAGGCTCAGGTTAGGGTGTGTAGAAGAGAGGGAGAATACTTCCCATTAAAAGTAGGTCTTAGACAGGGATGTGTAATGTCACCATGGTTATTTAATATATTTATAGATGGGGTTGTAAAAGAAGTAAATGCTAGGGTGTTCGGAAGAGGGGTGGGATTAAATTATGGGGAATCAAATACAAAATGGGAATTGACACAGTTGCTTTTTGCTGATGATACTGTGCTTATGGGAGATTCTAAAGAAAAATTGCAAAGGTTAGTGGATGAGTTTGGGAGTGTGTGTAAAGGTAGAAAGTTGAAAGTGAACATAGAAAAGAGTAAGGTGATGAGGGTATCAAATGATTTAGATAAAGAGAAATTGGATATCAAATTGGGGAGGAGGAGTATGGAAGAAGTGAATGTTTTTAGATACTTGGGAGTTGACGTGTCAGCAGATGGATTTATGAAGGATGAGGTTAATCATAGAATTGATGAGGGAAAAAAGGCGAGTGGTGCACTGAGGTATATATGTTGAGACAAAAAACGTTATCTATGGAGGCAAAAAAGGGAATGTATGAACGTATAGTACCAACACTCTTATATGGGTGTGAAGCTTGGGTTGTGAATGCAGTAGCGAGGAGGCGGTTGGAGGCAATGGAGATGTCCTGTCTAAGGGCAATGTGTGGTGTAAATATGCAGAAAATTCGGAGTGTGGAAATTAGGATGTGTGGAGTTAATAAAAGTATTAGTCAGTGGGCTGAAGAAGGGTTGTTGATGTGGTTTGGTTATTTAGAGAGAATGGATCAAAGTAGAATGACGTGGAGAGCGTATAAATCTGTAGGGGAAGGAAGGTGGGGTAGGGGTCGTCCTCGAAAAGGTTGGAGGGAGGGGGTAAAGGACGTTTTGTGGGCAAGGAGCTTGGACTTCCATCAAGCGTGCGTGAGCGTGTTAGATAGGAGTGAATGGAGACGAATGATACTTGGGACCTGACGATCTGTTGGAGTGTGAGCAGGGTAATATTTAGTGAAGGGATTCAGGGAAACCGGTTATTTTCATATAATCGGACTTGAGTCCTGGAAATGGGAAGTACAATGCCTGCACTTTAAAGGAGGGGTTTGGGATATTGGCAGTTTGGAGGGATATGTTGTGTATCTTTATACGTATATGCTTCTAAACTGTTGTATTCTGAGCACCTCTGCAAAAACAGTGATTATGTGTGAGTGTGGTGAAAGTGTTGAATGATGA